AGCAGCAGCTCCTAGAACTCTGCCTCAGCAGGAAAAGGATGGTAACGTGGCACTCATTTTATAAGGGTACAGTTAAACACGTGCATGTAATTCATTAAATCAAACCAGCCATGGCAAGTGCTCTGTTTGCCGTCCTCATGATCAGTATTTTTATAGTGAATATACAGCTAATAAAAAAAGGTACAAATTTCCAATTCTAAGATGAAGAGGTACAGCATGGTAATTATAGCTAATAAGACTGTATGAAATAGAGACATTACTCAACTTATGATGGGATTACATTCTGTTAAACCCATTGCAAATGGAAAACCTACTGAATATCATAGCTTAACCTAGACCACCTAAAATGTACTCAGAACACTTATATTAGCCTATAAAATCATATAGATTGGGGGAAATCATCAATGAATACACTATGAGTATCGGTTGTTTACCCTCATGATCATATGCCTGATGGGAGCTACAGCTCACTGCTGCTTTAAGCACCGTGAGGGAATATTATAGCATATATCGCCAGCCCAGGAAAAGATCAAAATTCAAAATCTGAAGAATAATTTCTACTGAATGCATATCACTTTTGCACCACCTCATAAAGTTGAAAAAAAATCTCAGTTAAATCATTGTGTGTTGGGGATCATCTATATTTCAAAATTGCTAAGAGACTAGATCTTAAATGTTCTCAACACAAAAAATAAATGGCAATTATGTGATGTATGGTGGTAGCAAGATGGTGGCAATCATTTTGCAATATATGTATGTCAAATCAACACAAACTTTTATGGGACATGTCAATTATGTCTAAATAAAGCAGGGGTTGGGGAAGCCTTTACTAGAAATATGATGAGGTAGATAAAGCTCCAGATATGGTCAGGAGACTTCATTTTGAGTTCCAGATGTCATTTGAGATCAGTGACCTTGGGCATGCCATTTAATGTTTTGCTGCCTGTGGTACCTGTCTCTCTTACCTAGCTGAACCGAGGGTCAAAGGGAATTTGAGTGAAAGTACTTTATGCACCATAAAGGACAACACAGACAAGTTGTCAAACAGAAGCCAATACACATGCATGAGTTTGGTTCATGTACTATTATAGCACCCTCACCTGCGGGAATCCCGAGGATCAGAGAGTTAAGTGTACACAACTGAAATAAGCCTTGGATGATCTCTGTGCAGAACACATGCTGCGCTAAGACTTCAGGACAGGAGGGGAAGCCTGCTCCTGCTTGAGAAGATGGTGATGTGAAGAGGGAGAGTCACTCGTCTCAGGCCTTTTGGTGGAGGTGGGGGGGGGGGGGGGAAGGATTTTCTAAGGAGCTAAAGCCTGAATGCCATGGCATATGTAATGGTCTCGAGGTGTGTATTCATAAAGTCAGCTTCCTCCTTTTCTGAAACACAACTCTGTATAACTGGCAGCCTCTGCTACATCAAGAATTCACTGCTGTGAGCAACACAGTGCTTATGGCAGCACTGCCTGAGAATGGTCATTGGAGAGCGCTGTGCGGGCAGTCACAGGCCAGACGCAGCCCTTTCTATTCTCTACACACCACAGGGCGCACACCCTACAACCTGAGAGAGCATAAAGGTACCTTACCAATTATTACTATTAAAAGCAAACAATCAACTCTACAGATAGCTTCCTTTAAAACATGTTTTCTAACCTCTGTTTCCTCTCTGACGTATGGTTATTGTCCCCTGGAAAGGCCCCAAAGTGATGGCCAGGAATCTGCCACAACCACCCCTTCTGCTGTGCCTGCCATCGTGTTTAATTTGTTTGCTCAACTTGAAGCCAAGCTCATATGCAGTATATTTGGATGGTTAAAAAGCATAACGTTCCATTGTATTCACAGATTATTTTCAACACCACAATTCTTGAGAATTAGTCTGGAATAAATAAGGCAAAAAGAAAGGGAAAACATGAATTTGTTCCGGTGACAAAGAAAACAACATGGAAATGGCAATCTGGAGATTTGCCCGAGTGAAGGTTCCTCTTGGTGCAGGCTCCTGCAAATGCTATCACTGTTGCATTCACAAGGCTGATTTGAAAGAGGGTGAGAAAGCAAGCAAGAAACTAATATTATGAAACTGAGAAAAGTTCCTTTGTAATTTCAAAAGATCAATGCACATTCTTATGTAGCATTAAATGTAAAGGTGTGGTGCTAATGTGTATGTTGATTTTCTGAACCTCTAAGAAGCCTTTTTTTTATATAACAATGGCAAACTTTCTAAGTTGAAAAACATATATCATTAATATATATCTTTTTTCCTGAGGTCTCAGTAACTGCATATTTCCTCAAATGTCTTAAAAATAAAAGTCACAAATTTACAAAGGCTTGCTTGAATACTTTTGTCAGTTAATTCTACCTTAAAATGTTCAACTTGTATTTTTAGTTTCATTTAACAAATACTAACCCTATATTACACAAATGCCAAAAGGAGTAAAGAACAGACTGTGGCTGAAGAGGTCATGGCTTGAATTGGATCAATTAATTAAAAATAAAGACAAGTGTTTTGTGCTTTGAATCTGAGCCAAACTTTACATAATAATAAGAATAGGCATTTTAACCATGCAGACCTTAATTAACCTGATTTTCACCCAAATCTAGGAAATGAAGAGAATGAATATGCAGGCAGATGATGTTTTACTTGAGATTATTCCACGTGCCTATATAATTATTGAACAAACATCACATTTAGAGAAGGCCAACTCTGAGCTCACCTATCAGGAGCTGACTTGTTCTCTGCATTCTTATTCTTCATTCGTTTGCTAATTAATTTAACAAATATTACTCACAGCCTATTATATGCCTAAAAGATGTTATAGGTACTGAAGACACATAATAGGATAGACTCTGTGCTATTCTTATGCAGTTTTTATTCTCCCCTGGGGGTTAGGATGAAGGGAAGGCTTCTCTGAGGAGGTAACATGCCCCACATGGACAAGCCCTGGCACTGGCCATGGGAAGAGCTGAGGGAACTGCAAGGATAAAGATGGCAAAAATGGGAAAGAGTTTAGAGAATCCATTAAACAGGAAGAAGGCAATGAACTTCAAACTCATGGACTGGAGGGGAACGTTTTAAGATGAGGCCTGATAGTGAGCAGAGGATGTAAGATGGCATATATATCTCTCATTCTAAAATACAAATTTCTGCAGTTTTACTTTCAAATAACTATTTTCAGATAACCATGTTGTCAAAAACTCAATATTTTTTAAAAAAATTATTTTTAGATAAGTTCAGCAAGGGAGTCTCTTAGAGAAAACACTAGAAACAATTTTCTTACCATTTCTTATTAATCGATCTTATAAATAATGTTCTGAAAATAAATAGGAAAGTGCTAAAGAGATTAAAGACTCTCAGGTGTCTTTCATCCTTCCAAAGTAGATCAAATTATATTCACTATAGCTGTGGTGTGTAGTAGTTTGGAGCAGAATACTTTGCATGCCATTCTTCAAAAATCTAAGACTCTTATTAAGAGCCATTTCTCTTAAAAATCTATGATCCTTTTCCAACAGAACTGTTTTTGACCTAAATTTTTGGCTAAATTTTTGGGAGTTCTTTTCTTCCACTCACTCCTGCATCTAATATTTCAGAGAAATAGATTTTAATAGCTATTGACCTAATTTAAATATATATAAATTTGTTAAACAAAAATAACAATATGCAATTTTGGTGCAAACACAAATTCACACAAAACTGAATATTAGAGCAAATGCGGTACGTTTTGAAGGATGTCCTGCCAATAGAGTACCACGAAGTGGATTGGAAGCCTCAATTCATTGCTGAAGAAACTTAGTAAACTATAATGCAGTTAACATACATAAACCCCAAACCCTCCAAATAGCAGGAAACAAATGACTTACCTTTCCTGGTTTGTTTCCAGAGAGTCACTTAACATTGAATGAACATCATGTAACCATTGGTTCAACATAAGACCTGGTCTCTCTTCCATTATTCCAGCCTCCAACCTCTCTAAGCCACTTTGGGACAGGACAGGAACACCTCTGGGGGCTAGTGGATGAACAGGGTGCATTCTGGACCCTGCCAGGGTATAAGCTCGATGGGAGAAGGCTCTGCTCTTGATGGGGACTGTTCTGGATTGTTCAGCTTTGTCCAAGATGTTCAGCTTTGTGAACTTCTTTCAGGGGTAAAATATTAGGAATAACACTGTGATCACACAACTAAGCTTTAGCTGTTATTGACAATAAAATTGCCTTTAGAAAACAACAACAGTAACAATCATCTGGGAAATACTGGTCTCTCTCTCTTTTTCTCTCTCAAGATATTTTCTTTTGGGCACCCAGATTTCTGAAGGATAATTTGACAATTGTACTATGTCATTGTCATTACTGTCTTTCAGAAAAAATGACATTTAATATATATATATATATATTTTTAAATATAGAAATACATTCTATGTCACAAAGATCTAACTATAAACAAATAGATCACATTAGAACAATAAAAGGTGTCTCACACATATATATCTTACATGAAAATGTAATACTTTTTTTGAAAATGTGATACTTAATAGAGAAATCTAATTTTTTAAATGTATACCTTATACTTTTCACTGAAAACTTTAAAAGTATTTTTAAAAACTCTATTAATGGACCAAAATTTCCCCTGGTTAGAGTAGTTGATTTGGCTTGGCATTTTGTATGCATTCATTTAAGTTGTAAACAAAGGCATAGCATTATAATGATATGCAAGTCAATAACTTTTGGTGTTTACAATACTGGACTTTATATACACAGTCAAAATATTTAAAATTCAAACTAAAATCATCTAATTTATTTTTAGAAAATAAGTACTGCCTTTTGCAAATGTTTACTATGTAAAAACAACATTTAGAAAGTATATTTCATATAATTTAAGATATATATCTATAGACACCTATATAAAAGGATAACATGTATAATGTATGTGTGTGTGTGTGTGTGTGTGTGTGTGTGTGTGTGTGTATCTTCACTCCCAACCAGATCTCTCAAATCTTCAATCTTACCTGTTTCTGAGCAGTACTCTGAAGGTCATCTTATCCAGTCCCAGATAATTTGGCAGCAAGTTTGACCAATTCCAGTTCCATTTTGTGATCGCTGACTGTTGATAAATGAGAAGATGCTATTGTTAGTTATTAATCAGAGTTAATATGATCAGTAAATTAAAGCTCCAGCTGTGATAGACTAACTAAGGAGGAGGGGGGTCCAGAACAAGGACTTAGGCAGATAACATCAATCATGTCCACAGAAGGTTTTTATTCCAATAAGACAGAAATTAATTTATAAATCCATTTGGAGATGTAGTCATTATTTATAAAAACATAAATCAATTTCTTGAATCATTTTCCTTCCAAGTGCTAATGGCTTTTGCCCAACAAGTTTCTCTGAGAGGGTGACTCTTTGCAAAGCAAAGAAAAAAAAATTGGTAACTTTTTCTCACATCAATTTATAGACTTTTTAAGTACTCAAAAGTTTGATTAAGAAAACAAACTTGGGGCCCCGGCTGTATAGCTCTGTTGGCTAAAGCATTGTCCTAATACATCAAGGTTCCAGGCAAGAATCAACCAATGAGTACATAAATAAGTAGAACAATAGATTGATGTTTCTCTCTCTCTCTCTCTCTCTCTCTCTCTCTCTCTCTCTCTCTCTCTCTCTCTCTCATCGATGGATTTAAAAAAAAAAAACAAATTTGAAGTGCTATGATAAATTATAAGACATAGCTTAATATTAATGCTATCTTTTTTATTAAAAATGCTTTAAATATTAGGAAATATTAGGACCTATAAATGTAAATAAAATAAGTGATTCTTTTTTTCTAATTTAATAGATAATTTCACAACAAAACAGGAGAAAAATTACTGTGAAAGATAATCTTATGTTTCAGAATTGAATAAAACATGCCATTTATTTAAATGGAGTGAGGATAATTTAACAGCCACAATAATTATTTATGGCTTAGTGTAATCTAATGTACAATACAGGAAAGCAGCCAATAAGCTCAAACTTATACCTTATATTAGGCTTTAGTTTATACTCCTTTAACTAGATAATTTTGATGATAAGAGTCCAGGCTGATGTTTAAAATCCAACAAGAACTCTGCCCTGTCACCTGCTGATTAATGGAGCACTCCAGTCCTGTCATAGAGCAGTGGAATTCTGCCCCGGGTTGTCAGCATTTGAAGGTCTTATTCTACTACAGTATTGATGAGTGTAGACTAGGGCTGTAACAGGCATGGTAAAAATATTATCTGCATCCCGAATTAGGCCATTGTTTTAATTCTTATTTTCGTCAGAGCTCTAGGTCAAGCAATCCTTCTCTTCTGCCCTGTTAGTTCAAACAGTCTGTCAAGAGGCTTCTCAGAGAAGCCACCAAAAGAATGAATAAAGCAAAAGCAACTTCAGATTTCAAATATGTTGGCATAAAGGTGACGCTTTTCATATAACTACTGCGACATTTAGCTTAAACAATGGCATAATCCGACATTAACAAATGTGTGGTGTTTATCACATTGACTTTCTTCCAAACATCCCAACTTTAGGATCATTAGCAAATTCATTTTAAATTCAGGATTGTGTGTGGGGTTATATATAAAAAGAAGCTAATTTACACATGCTGCCTAAAATAGCTCAATGCTCTAGTTAGAATTAATTGGAAACTCTTTTATGGTTTACCTGATAAATTAGATAAATTGATAAAGATTCCAAGGTGTTATGTGAGTGTAAGTATTACCAGTGTAGAGGTTGGGGGAAGCAAAGGAGAGAAGGCTGTTATAAAACGCTTGGTTTTCCGGTCTTTTTGTAGACACAGCCAAACAGATGTTCCCTCTGCCCGGGGTGAACCGACCTGGTCAAAAGCTAAATTTTACAGACCAAACATATGCATCAGTTTGACAAATAGGAAGACGTTAAAACAACTTTTCAACGTCAATTATTGCAGACCATACAAATAAATATAAGGTCTTTTGCTTCAGAGAGAAAAGGCTCATGAATAAATATTCAAACACAATCCATTTTCTTTTCTTATTAGTGTAAAGAAATCACACATTTAAATTAAATTTACCATTACATACCTGATCTAGCATGTTTTCACTAAACGCCTTACACACATGGAAAGGGTTAAACGCAGAAGGCTGATCTTCCACACTCCTCAAGGTTGTTTTTAAAGGTCGGATGGGTAATGGCTTTTCCTCTGAACCATTCATAGAAAACAGCTGTTCTTTTAAATACTCCTTCAAGGGGGAAAAAAAATTACAAGTCGTTGTGGTGGGAAACATATATTCTCTTTCAAAATAAACCGATCAATATCCAAATCTACTCTTTCAGCACATTTGCCAGATTACAGTGTATTACTTGCCTCAGGACAGAATACATTTTCAGAAGAAACACAGCAGAGTACTAATCAGTTTTGCAATAAACCCATCAAAAACAGGTTCACCTGATATATAGAATAGATTAGAAAAACCCTTTAGCAAATTCTCACATAAGGAATGTATGCTTGATAAATCAGAGTCTTTTTAATAGGCATTGTCTTGTCATTGGTTCATGTGTTAACATCCCTGGTTACCAAAACTTAACTCAGGTGCATGATTATTCACAGGACAAGATTGCTTATTTATTTATTAAGTGTCGTTGCTATCTACTCTATGCTCAGTGAAGTGCTAAGTACTCTGATATTTCATGACAAGCAGCCTCATTCTACGTAGAATTGATTATAATGCATGCACCTAAACTCAATTCCCATGCTGTGGCCTGAAAAATACCAAGGTATAAAAGAAAATCAAAATATGTAATTCTAATCCCCTCACTGCCAGTACTAGCCTGAGCAAAAATAGTCAATCTACCAAAGGCATGGATACATGGTACAGACTGACAGTCTCAGTGGGGAGGTGAGTGAAGCAGACTGAATGCAAAAAGGTGAAGAGAAAAGCCAAAGAACATTTACTCAAGCCCCTGGACACAGACAACAGTATGGGTGAGGGCTAAAGGAAGGGGAGGGCAGGGTCTGATGAAGGTGGGCAAAGTGGGGAGATGGGAGACATCTATAATAGGGTCAACAATAAAAAAGTCAATCTAAAGCATTATTCCACATTTTCCATCCATAAATAAATAAGATGGGGAATCCTGTTTTATAGGACTCTTTGGAAAACAAATAAAAATGAAAGTTTCCAATAAACTATCAAATGTTTGCTATTAATAAGCAAGACATGCAATAAATAACTGTTGTCCTAATTTTTAGGATGTCACAATTTTTTTCTCCAAGTTCAGGATTAAGACCAGGTTCAGAATTTCAGAGTTGGAAAGGACTTCAGAAGTTACCTAGAAAACCCTTGTTATGCTAAGTCACGTGCACAGGTGAGCCTAATGAGCCTCATTAGAGAGCTGGTTAGAACAGAACCTCAGATCCCACCAAATCAGAATCTGACTGTTATGATTTCCCAGGAGACTGGCAGGCACAGGAAAGTTAGAAAAACTCTAGCTCCTGACACATTCAGTGGTTAGCTCTGAAAGGTCATGGACAAACCAAGGTCACTCAGGGGTGAGTGGTAGAAGCCGCATCTCTGGTTTCAGTCCACTGTGCTTTTCTTCTGTTTCTCTATAACTTCATGCATAGAGAACACCCATTGTATGCTTTGTGAAACGCTGTATTCACAGTGCTACTCATCAAATCAACATCACAATGCAAATTCATCTACAAAATAAGGATACCTCACAGTATAAAAGCGGCCCATAGGTATTATAGTAGTCACTTAATCATGCTTGTGTTGTGATCTGGGTTTAATGCCTAGTGATAACAAGGAAAACATTCTCACTACTTTTTGATTCCTGCCTCACCTCACATATTCACCTTACCTTCCAGCAGCACCAAGTCTCACTGAGCGCTGTAAATCCCCAAGTGCTTAGCTCGACCGGCCTCCCACCCCATCTGATAGACCTTGCCATAATGGTAAGTATATTCAGTTGTAATGAAACAAACATCACAACTTTGAACTTAATCAAAATGTGTTGGTACCTCGGGAAAGAGTCTTAATAAATACATTAGACCGCAAGGCTTACCTGTTCAGAACAACTGCCTCAGAGTTCCCTGGGTGTTTCAGGGAAACAGCCTTTAATTTCCTGAATATCCAACTCAATTTTTGCTGATTTTATTTACTGGTGATTACTAATTTTCCTTGATTACAGACCTTTTAAAAAAGAGGACTAGCCTCTCAGTTTAGCCATCTATATTGGCCATTGCTGACCTCAGAATTACTGTAGCGCCATTTTACCAGGGATCTGAGCAATACCTGTTCCTCAATAAACCAGCAGTTCGGGTGGAAGGTGGGCATGCCAATGATTGGAAGTCTTTCAGTTAGCCAAGGTCAGGAGGTAAAGAGTTCCCAAGTTCCCCAAGTAAAAACCTACAACTAGCTGTGAACAATTATTAGTATGAGTGAATAGGTTATATTTCTTGGTAACAATTTCATACTGAGCTTTAAGTCCATTGGGGACAGGACCATGCTTTCATAGCTACAAATTCCGCAGTTCCTTCTCAGGTGACTATTGAATACACAATTACATCACCTGTTTATAAACTGGTTGTAAGCTGTTGAAAAGCCAGGAAATAAGATTTACTTGAAGTAACTTTCAGATAGGTAATAATGGGAAGAATATTTAAATGACTCGGTTATGAAATGCTGTGATAGAATATAATTCATTCATAGGAGACAGAGGGAAGTTATGTGTACAGGAACAGGACCCTGATGTGGTGGGTGGGGGAGGCAGGAGGATGTAGAACAGGAATCCAACTAGGCGGGGTTACTAAGGCAACCCAGGTGAGCAGGGGAGGAAAGAAGCATATAGGAGACAAACTTTAAAATGTATGGATGTTGCTAAGACAGGCAGCTTGCAGATAACCAGTCATAAGACAATGAGGGATATAAACCAATCCCAAGGAGGTTGCTATGGCAGAAGTTTTGAATAGACCAATCAGGAGCTAGCAAGGTTGTACCCACCCCCTAGGTTAAAAAGCACTTGATTCCACCCCGTTAGCCCCCATAGGAGACAGGCTCCCCTGTGCCCACGTGGTTTATGGCCATGTAGGACTCTACACTTGGACTAATAGACTTTAACACACGGCTGTAATGTGGAAAGCAGCTCTGGGCACTGGGCTGTTCCTGGGACTCCAGATGCACCATTTCCAGGACTGGCTTCTTTCCATATACTTCAGTTCCACTAACAGTTTTCGTCCTCTGACTTCATTCTTCGATTTCATGAGACAATGAACTCGAACTTAACCCCACATTTTTGTTTCAATTCCTTAGAAACTTAGGGTCTTAAAGGCTTATCTCATTGAGAAAAATCAGTGTATCTTCACATAATTCATATTATACAATTTTTAATATTCCAAAAAATACATTCATCTGTTTGCAGATAAAAAACATAATTCTATTCACATTAGATGTCATGTTCTAATTCATATATATATTGTCAAATAAAAAACCTGATTAGATGAGCACACTTATATTGTTTAAATAAATAACTGAGATGCTGCTCTTCACATTTTCACTAAAACGGCCCGAAGCATGCAAGGTCAGAGGCTTAACCCTGCTGGACAAGCATGACATTGGTCCTAATCAGTGTCTGTGCATTAATGCATTTTCTTGGGTTAAGTAGTTGCTCTTGAATATGGCTCAATATTCTTCGGAAGTTTTCTCTTTATGTAAGAGGTCTCCAACTTCACCGACACAAGTATGACGCCTACAGGAGAAGAGCTAGAGAAAAATTCTCTGCAGAAAATTCTTCACAAATACGAGTTTAGCATCGGCTTAACAGTCACAAACACACAATTCCCAAACTACACCTCTAGTCTATAGGATTCAGAACTGAACTGAGTTTATGAGCCGTGTTATTGTTTAAACCGTATAAATAAAACCTACATTGTTTCGGGGAAGCTTCTGCTGTACAAATGCAGAACAGCCGGGGCTGAATATATTCTATTAATAATGCAATATTGAGTTTGGTATTGACTTTAAGAAGTATTATTGCCTCCTTGACTAACCCTTAGCTGCCAGCAGACGCTGCCTCAGGCCAGTACACACCTAATTGCTCGGTAAAAAGGCCGTTTCCCTACCTCATTGAGCCGCATGATGTGATAAATTTGCCTCAGGTACTCGCTGCCACCTGGTTTGTGGCAGATATCCAGGACCATCATGTTTATTTTCTGCTCAGTCAGTTCAAGAGCAATATCTCTTTCTTCTAAGGCTGTGCTTTTCTCCATTGTCGTAAAGGCACTAAATACAAAGACGGCATAGACACATCAGTGGTGAAGAGTTATAAAGATGGAAAGTAATCAGAGAGGTTGAGTGTGGAGAGTCGATGCAAGTCTCCTATCAAAGCCCCCATAAAGACCTTGCTCAAGTAGGTAAGCCTTCCCACACTGCTGCTGCTCATATACATACTGCCTTGGAACTAAGCACCTGAAAGCATTTTTTAAAAATGGAATCGCTTCTTTTTAAAACATTTCTTTATTAAAAAAAACATCAACAACATTTCTTTATTAAAAAACAACAACAACATTTCTATAAAACATTTTCCCATTACTGCAATTGTTGAAATTGCCATAATTACGGGATGAAAACAAGACATTTCTTTTTAAGAACATGTATGAAATCATTAGTATTTTTTCTTTGAGGATAAAAAAGTATCTTTGATGCCAGAAATAGCTTTGGTATTCTGTCTTTGGTCCATTCCTCTTTACACCTGTCTTAGAACACATTAGAGACTAATTAAAGTGTCAAAGGGAGAGCCCATTATGCTAAATATAGGTTGGGTGCTTCCTGGCCCTATGCTTACTTACCACTGGGCATTTTAAATTGGCCTTTTGACACTTGTTGCCTTTTTAAAATATATGCCTCCCTCTCCTGTTTCTTCTTGGTAACAGATATTTAGTATAAGTCACTACCCTGATTATTCTTCTAGGAAAAAGGATCTATTATCACTACCCCAGGAATGTTCAAGTTATATTTGGGAAATACTTCTGTTATATAAGGACTCATATACTTATTATTGATTTTATTCATTATTTACATAGTAACAATGGATGGCATAATTTTTTTTAAGTTCCCAAACAAAAAAGTGCAAAATAAATCATGATATTCAACTTACATCATATATATTCCACACTAATTTTCTTCTTGCAATTTCTATTTGGATCATGTTAGGCTTTGCAATCTAAATATTCTAAAGAAAACGCATAGTTTTCCACTGTTTCCCAGACTAAACGAAATTTAATGTGGTGTAATCAGGTATATACTGCAGTTCATTACTGAGATTTTGCCATGATTATAAAATTAGTTCTGCTAAGAGTCAGTGCCGCTGACCTGAAGACTGAACCAAATGATACCCAGCTGCTGGACATTAACTTTTATATTGCTTCCACATGTAGCCGCAAAACATCCTTCTTTAAAAAACTCATACACACCAAAAACTTTATGCTCATATCAGCCTTGCTAAAAAATAAAGCAAACCCTACTCTTAGAGATTTTCATTAGCTAGAGTAAGTCTTCAAACAAACAAACAAACAAACAAACAAACAAAAAGACATTGTTTCAGTAAAAGAAGTTTGCCCATGTTTTGAAACTGCCTGTAGGATATAGGATAGGAGCGAAATTTCTCATCAGGTTTTGCACAGGCTGACATTGAAAAAGTTGAGGTCCTCTGACAAAGGAGTGCCTCAGTGTCAGCCCAGGAATTGTATCCTTTCCTGTCCATCACTGTGCAGGTGAAGCACATGATTGGATTCAGTCAATGCAGTGATTAATGAGTTCCTCTCTGGATTTGGGACTGCATATCAATCATGTCATTAGGGAGAATGTGCCCTGAAAGAGGCAGACCTTAGCCAAGGAATAACTGCATTAATCTTAATCTGTATATGCACCCAGCCAGCCAAGTCAGGGTCACCATGATGAAAAACAATAATCTTCAACTCGACAAATTACTTTGCAAAGACAGACATTTCTTTACTTTTGGGGCTGTGTGTTCTCCAGAATCTAAGTTGACTGTTTACAGCTTGCGTGTTACTACAAAGTGAAGGTTATTTTAATGAATAGTAATGCTTTCAGGCAGGATGCAAGACAAGCAGTGCTTACAGCTGCCGCCTTTCCACTGTGGTTATTTGCACCATTTCCATAAAATCAAAGTTAAATCTGGATGCGAGTGAAAGAAATCAAGCTAAACAATATTGTGTAGTTCCAAGAAAAGCTTCATGGAAAATTAAGATTTCATTGATCTTAACAGAAAAACTATTTCGTTTAAATGCTTCCATTCTCATACTTAAAAAATAATTATGGTAAAGCCAAGGCAACTTTCCACCTATACACAGACATCATTGTTTAAAATACATTTTCCTCCTGGTATAGATCTATGACACAAATGATCATTGATTTATGAGAACTAGGTAGAGCTGAAAGTATACTTGTATACCAGATACTCAACTTCAAATCAAAGAACAAACATTTCTATAGCTCTCAAATCCTGTAAGAAATTACCTAAAGTCAATGAATAGGCCAGATTGAACCTTTAAAAAAAAAAAATAAATGTAACTTTAAATAACTTTAAAGTAACAATAATAAAGAACTTCAAAATTTGCTTTTTCAAAATATTGATGTTACTTGAGAAATTGAGAAAGACACAACATTGTGCTAATTACATGATTATGTAATATATATGCAGAATCTTTGAGGGCTGTAAAACATTTTTAAAAGTCAGCCACTAGTCATTTTGGTTGCATGTTGCAACAGATAGCTAAACAGCCAAATATTCGCTAGACAACTCCTTACATAGGAGATACCACATGTGTTGGTGTTGTTTGTAAAATGCTTAAACTAAAATAGACTTTTAAGGAAACAATTTTACTTATGGATTCCTGTATGTGGCCCCAGGTGTATGACTGAGACATACTTTAAACTGATCTTATTGCTACAGGGCCTCCTAAATCAGCAATTTAACTTCAGAACTATAATCACTTCCAATATTTTTACTCTTCTTAGTCTCTTCCTTTCATAACTGCTGCAATGGAGAATGACATCAGGCCTTAATCTTTAAATCATTGGATTAAAGCCTATAAATCAGTATCAAATGCAAATGTAAAAATTAAGATGATCATTGTCAATGTTATTAAGCTTTTGCCTGACTGCTATTGTTATTTTTACCCGCAGACCATCCTAGGACTAAATTTCTAGAAATCAATATGACAAAGCCAGGAAAAGCATGATTATTGACATTTCCCTATTTGGATTAATACTACTATAATGTTTTACAGATTAATATAAACCAGTAAAGAGTAATTTGTTATAAAAATAACCAGTGAGGTCAATGTATTTTAGTAGTTTATAAATAACAAATGCTTACTAGTTTTGTTTTGTTTTGTTTCATTTTTTGTTTTAGAGGGAGAGGAAGAGAGAGAAACATCAATAGGTTGCCTCCCATACAGCCTGAGAATTGAACCTGAACCTTTTGGTGTACAGGACAATGCTCCAACCAACCGAGCCATCCAGCCAGGGCCAAGTTTTAAGTTTGATGTTAAGAACTTTATGTATGTTATTTAACTTCTCAAAACAACTCTGTCAGGTTGATATCATCTCTGAAAATGAGGCTTTGAGAAAGATTCCATAATTTGCACAAGATGGCCCACTTACAAGGGATTTGTATTTGTCCATCAGATTCCAAAGCCTGAGCTCTTTATCACTACCATGTACTAGGAAAATTAGCAACTTGTAGTCGTTTCAGGAAGAAAGTTATAATTGTATCTTCTGGCAGCATGAGTATATTTTAAAAGAATGGGGGACAGTGTGTGTGTGAGCGTGCTGTGAAGAAAAAGAAAAGAAAAAGAAAAGGTGGGGCTGACTTAGTGATCTGCAGGCCATATGAGCCGTGATTCCTTTATCCATATCATGCAATTCTATACTGAAGAAGGGAGGACTCAAAGTACATATTTAAATTCAGCAGGGACCCTTAAAAATGTCAGCAATACCACAAATCATTTAGCTCTTGGTAACAAACCTATGAGAAGGCTGACATTTTCATACAGAAACAGCTGGGTGTGTTTATGGCTCCAGTGTGATATGCCCCAGTTGCCCTCTGGGATTCTTACATTACCAGATGAAAAATGTGTACCTTTTTGACAATCAGGTACACAAAAAGCAATAAAAAGCCTTTTATATCCATTAATTCCTTCTTAATTTAATCTCCATGCCCAATCCATTTACAAAATGCTCCAAGCTATCCACTAGATACCTGTTTGCACACTGAAAAGGAGTGAAACCAGATTCTCCTGGTTTAACTACCACCCTTTTAATCAGAAACCTTAAGATGGTGACGAACAGGTATAATGTTCCAGTGTATCAATGGGTCTCAAATTTTAATAAGACAAGGAACGTCTTACAACCCAGTTTCCAATGGAATATTTATCTTTTTTTATATTCATCAAATTTCCATGAAGTTACCTTTGCAGCCTGTTTGACAATATTTTGTTGTTGCTGTTTATTGATAATTTGTTATTGTGAATGTATTTGATGAAAAGTTAGTGGTGGAAAAAAACAAAAAGAAAAAACACTGCTTTACCATTTGGTGCTCAATTTCCTGGCTTTCAGCAATTGGCCTTTAATCCAGTTGGGTTTTTGCTGCTCAATGCTCTGTATGACCTTTTGGGTCATTTGATTAGGGCTACTTGTCTGCTCTCCCATGATGCCTTTCAAACACATACAGATTAAACTGAGTTTCTCTTTACTCCATCTGTCAAGGGAAGCACCTGTTAAAAGTTCCACAGTGTTTCCATCCTCAAATATCCGACATATAATTACAATCAAGTTCCAGACAAGCAGGCTAGCTTTCTTCAAGTCAACAAAGTTTTCTGACATTTTTCTCTCAGACAGAAAAAAGAAGTATTTAATTGGGGGAGGCAAACATGCAATCACCGTAGGTAACTTGCTGATTACAATAGATACTGCCTGAGCAGCAAGCCTTGTGAAGCCTGGGGAAGAAAAGAAAGAAAAGGCATGATTAATATTAGCATTTGTGTTCCATCGCTGAGTTGTTTTGAGTGCTGTGGGGGGATGTCTAATCTTTGTGGAGAAAATTGTTGAGAAGAACAAGTGCTTGACATATTCCTACAGAACTCTACTGGGGTCCCCTGCAGTACTGCCTAAAAGTCCCCAAATTCAAACTCAGTTTTCTCTCCTATAAATAAAGATTAGAAAATTCAGAATTATTAGTTATATTTTTTATCCATTAAGAATGTGGGTTTAAAGGGCCCAGATGTCCTCAACTAACTAATGTAACCAATGCAGAGTTCTGCTGCTGGACTCTGTGCTCTTCACGCCCACCTTTGTCCTGCTCCCTAGGACTCCATGTCAGAATCATTTAATCTCTTGTCAAGACTGGCTCCACTTCCTTTAGTTCTTCGCCCAAATGTTACCGCCTCACCATCCCATCTAAAGCAGACCCTTCAAGCCCTTCCTATCCCAGCCCAAGTCCCTCCTTATCATTAGACACCTATTTGTTGCTTTTATGATAGCACTTAGTATCACCTAATTGTTATTTCCTCTATTTGTTCATTATCTGTCACCCTCCACTAGAATTTCAGCTCCATGAAGCCACTGCTGCATCCCCAGCACTTATTAGTAGTACCTCATTTATACTAGTTGTTCAATAAATATTTGTTGAGTAAATGAGTCAACAAACTTTCATGGTTACCTCTATTACTCTGCTTCTTTGAGTCTCATGCTATCCATGTTTCCCCAAAAATAAGAAATTCTCCAAAAATAAGACCTACTTACAGGTTTCCTTTTGAGTGAAATATAAGGCATCCCCCCAAAAATAAGGCCCCCCTAGGCTAAACATGAGAGATTTGGTTCACTGATTCTGAAAGAAATGGAGTCACAAGAAATTCACCAGGAAATTCAGGAATTGGATTGTTATGATGTTCCAGAAGATGATGACATGATTATCATTGAATAAATGAGTAAATTCTTGATATTGTAGGTTTCACAGTTTGTCTGGTTTGTGTTGACAACTACCGTACTACCATACCGTATACAGGTAACAATTTCCTTTATTTTTATTTAACAATAAATGTGTACCATATTCTTCTTCTTGGCAATATAAGATATCCCCTGAAAATAAGACCTAGTGCATCTTTGGGAGCAAAAATTACTATAAGAACTGTCTTATTTTGGGGGAAACAGGGTAGTTACATGTTCTACTAATACCTCTTAAAGGTGGGTATTTGCTAAGAAGGCTCATTAACTGATGATTCTTCACACTCTCCTTTACTTCGTGTTATTTCTCTGAAGACTTAACTGATGCTCCCTCTCTATATCAGAGCTTCTCCACTTGGGCACTATTGACATTTTGGGCTGGTAATGAGGAGCTGACCTGACACTGTTGGATGTTTTAACAGGATCTCTGGCCTCTATCCACTAGATGCCAGCAGCACCCACCTCAGTTGCGATGACTAAGCATTGCCAAATGTCTCCTGGGGGCAAAAGCTTCCCTGGCTGAGAATCATTTTCTAGATGATTCCAGAATCTTTAATCTTGACATTTCTCCAAGGGTAGCAATCCTCAAACTTTGGTTCCTTGTTAGGTATCCAATTTCTCTGCCCTAGTCATCATTAACTCAGTATAACTAAAACCAAATTCATTGTTTTCCGCACAAACTGGCTTGGCCCTCTTTAGGCTTCTGAATATCTCCTCAATCTCACATGGAATGCCCTTTCTTTTCATGAGTCACCCACATTCTTCACCTCTTGTTTCAAAGTCCTCTCCCCCTATAAATTTATTTGAACATATTTGTTGCTCATATGATTATATTGGGAATTAGATCCATAATGTGCCATGGTGTACCATATTTTTTATTGTCATCTATTATTGTTTACATTACATTGTTACTTATTTTATCATAAGTTGCCCTCACCAGTAGACTAAAAGTTCCTCAAGAGCATGAGAAAAATTCATTGCTTCCTGAATAACCCACAAAGCTGGATACAGTGTTTTAATCCACTATCTACATAAATTAATTTGAATCTTGGTATTAAGTAAGAAGTCAAAAGACCATGGTATGGAGCCCTTCAGTAAAATATTTATTGTTTTTACTTAACAAAAATAATTTTCAAGGTATTTTCTATTTTTATTTAAAGAAGTCAATCTTCTCTATAAAGTGTAAGCTCTTAGAAAACATATATAGTCTCAAAAATTCAGAATCATTTAAAAAATTAACTAGAGCATGTGTTTTGTTTTTTTAACTTTGTAAACTAGGTCCAACATATATTTGAATGATCTTATAAAACTGCTGAATTAAGTAAAATAATAAATGTGAAAGAACCTACTTAGATACTTGGTAAGAAATAGTTTCTCAATAAGTATTTTCTTTTCATTCAAATATATGTATATGCTTATATGAGGGTTAAAACATAAATGAAACAAATTAAGAAACTCCTTTTTGACCCCTCTTCTCTGTGTTCCTAAATTATTTTGAATTTTATGCTGTTTTATATATCTGTGTCTCATACTCCCCACTCTACTGTCATTTATTTTAGTTAAAAGATTATCTATATAGTAAAAGTGTAATATGCTAATTAGACTGGATATCCTTCTGGATGTCCTTCTTTCCAGACAAAGGAGCTGGGGTCAAGGCCCTTGTACAAATTTCGTGCATTGAGCCTCTAGTATCTTATATTCTGCTTATCCTAGAGAGGGTTTAACCATAGACACCAATGGAACATTTGACCATCTAAGTAGATTTCAGGTACAAATTACAATCCTCTTCACATCTGAATTTCTTATATTTTATAAAATCTGATCACTCCAGGTACTCAAATCCCCAACTATTTCATTAAAGCTTAAAGCAAATTCCAGTACCAGAACCTTTAGGCTGATAACAAATTAATAAATCCATTCTACTAGACACAGGAGCGCTTAGTCTATGATGATGTTAACAACACATCAAGGAGGGATCTTTTAAGAATGCCACACACTTATTTTTCTGTCTTTATTTAAATAACCTGACTTCTATCTTAGCCACATATATTATATATAACATATGGTAAGAGCCTGATTTTGAAGCTGATAAAGTTTAAAAAAAAATTTGTCTTAGAATAGATGCAGTGTAACATCTATAGTTATGTATTTGTCATTTCTTTTTTCCAATGCATATATTCCTGACAATAATATTTTTGTGTATTTAAAATAATGCAAAAGGAAAATTTGCAATGAATGAGATAAAGACAAAATAATGTCTTAAATTTAATTAAAAATTTAATTAAAAATTTAATTAAAATAGTATAAAATGTCAACAATAATTTATTGAGTAAGGATAATATGATTTAATATGATTTCTTATCTTTTAAATCTAGGTTTAACACTCTATGAAAAGTGACTAAAAGTTTGGTTTGCTTCCATACTTGGTTTCAATGACTGTCACAGGGGGAAAACCACTACCTGAATATACATAGAACCACCTGGCACTTGCTTTTCAATCTCAGCCACCAAATAGGTGTAGGCTGTTGTTGAAATGTGACTCATAATTATTCATCATTCAGGATGTCATTTAGTTGTTCTTGCAAACAAATTGAAAAATATTTTGTTTTTGTATTTTAAGCAAAACGCTCAAAAATCACTTAAACTCTTATTTGAAACTAGCAGCGTGGTGCATGAAAATTAATGCACTGGAGGAGGGGTCCCTCCACCAGGCCTGCCCCCTCTCACAGTCTGCGAGTCCTCAGGAGCAGGATGGCCTGGAGATCAGGGGAAGGCAGTGCCTCCATCACACCTCTGCTGCTGCCACTGCCAGCAGCACAAGCCTCAGCTGGCCCTGGTTACTTGAGCCTCAGGCACCTCTGGGTGGCTGGGGTACTGGGGGACTCCGAAGGCAGGCACTCGGAACTGAGGGGACTGGGTGCCACCATTTTGTAGTTGGGGATGCCGCCATCTTTGAGGGCATGACAGTCAATTAGTATATTCCCTCCTTATTGGCTGTGGGCAATCTTTGAGGGCACTACAGTCAATTAGCATATCCCCTCCATATTATCTATGAGTGCCACCATCTTTGTGAGAGCATAACGGTCAATTAGCATATCCTCTCTTTATTAGATAGGATGTTTTAATCGTGTTAGAAAATTCTATTTCTAAGTTCTTAAGTGTGCAGCATAAAATTTGTATAAATAATGATGGTTTTTGTAAAATGAGTAATTTCGTTTTTTAATAAAATAAACTCCCTTAATGACTTCTGATAGTATGTTGTATATTTTTGCCATGAAGTTCTTTCTCAACTATCTGCCTGTGAATAATGCATACACTTTTCTTGCAGTGCTACCTGTATTCTCTCCAGAATCCAGTTTCAGTTAAAGCAGTTACTCCAACAGTTTTCCATAAAGCATGCTTTTTATTTAAAAAGTAATTTACTGCTAAGAAAATATGTTCTCCAGTATACTTTTCATTTAATTGTTGACAAAGAAATAAAACTAGTTCTTTGTGGATTTGCCTCTTAAAATAAGGGAGCAAGTACCTAAGCTGATCTATATAAGAAACAGCTGAACTTTCATTCAACTCTTCCATAAATCTCCTACTTTGTGTAATTTATTGTAATATTTATTTATTTATACCTTCGGTGTTTTCTATGCAGTGGTATTTGCTGACAAAGAAATAAAGATGTGCATTTTAGTTTGTCACCAGAGTGTATACATGTTCAGTCATTTTAATCGTGTTAGGACAAGCAAATGTTCCCGTACACTAGTGAGTAGTTTTCTTTTAATAAGTCACAATCTTCAAAAAAGCTCTCTAAACATTTATCTTTACTTCAACAAAATATGCAAATATTGGGTTAAATACATTTGACTTAAAACATTGCTGGAAACTATTAGAGATTAGTCTTCACGTTTTGAATGCTTGGTTTTGAAATCTTTTGCTAATCAAGATGACTTCAAACTATTAATAGTTAACATCTCAAGGCACAATACTCACTTAGGAAGGTCTCATATTTAACATCAATGTAAGGGAAGCTATATTTCAAATGGTTTTTCCACACAGTTTCTTTTTTATTGTCCCCCCCTCCCTAAATCTGATCAGATTATTGTTTTTCGTTATACTATGGCTGCAAAAGAGCTCATATTAAGAATATAAATGATTGCTTCTCGGCCTTTTTGCTAAGATCAAGTGAACGATAGAAATGTGTGAACTTTTTCACTTTGGCCTTGTTTGCTCTTCCTTGCTTTCTCAGCATTAATTTTAAACTGCATTTGATTTGTTGGTTTACAGGAATATGTTAAAGCCACTGGTTTGTTTTGTGATGACTCATTTTATTAAAACTAGATTCTGAAATGCAAAGGACATTCTTAATTCATTACTGTATGCTAAAAGCTAATGAAAGGGTGACATAACCCTGTCTATCCACTATCCAAAAATATTGTCCTTAACACATGACTGGCTTACACAACAAGGAATTGTCTTGTACATCCCCCCAAGATGTTTGTACCTGTTTGAAAATAGTAATACAAGTTTTGAAGCACCAAGAGGAGATATCTTATTTAAAGTTTATCTCTGGGCTCCACCCCAGTGCCTAGTAGTAATAGTAATTCACATAGAAAATATCTATTGAAAGAATAAGTGACAATGTCTGGCATGTAAAATACTATCTTTCTTGTATATGGTACTGAAAAGAGAGATTGCGCACTCTCAGTCTAAAAGAGGGCAAAAAAGAAGAACAGTGGTATTCTCCCATTGTCATATCCACCAGGAATGCACAAAATGCTTTATAAAGTTTTTTATATAATTATGTGAATTGACACTCCTTCATGGCTATCTATTGGAGAAGTGCTGTACTTATACCCTTAGTGGTCATTTTATAAAGTGGTCATTTTGTAGATCCTAGTGTGTTTTTTTTTTTTTAACAAAAAAAAAACAAAACAAACAAACAAACAAACAAAAACCACACTAGGATCTACAAAGTAAGTAGTTTTTGGAACCAGAGGTTGTTACTTTGTTATGGAAGAATTTCAAAATGTTGTTAGAAAGCAAAATAGTTCATGAATAGAATGACCAGAAAGCCACAGGCAAAATGGCGGCACTTCTATGATGTGCTATGTAAATGATAGGTCATGCTTCCTGAATTGTTCAAAAATCTATGAAATACCCAAAAGCTAGAATGAAGAGTGATGGCAAGAACTCAGATAAGGCAGAACTTCAGTAATGAAAAGGTGACATTTTCCATTTTCAATTAAATGGCTTTACTAGATTCAAAGGCAGTTTAATAGGGCTTAGACAGAATTAAAACATTACTATGAAAGGTCACAGATAGATAATTGATTTGTTTCTAATGCAAGGTTGTTGGATAAGAGCCACATTATTTAGGATCTTCATGAAGAAGAATGAAAGGCTAGTCCCTTCAATTGACTTAAGTGGGTTCAGCTGGAATATTTTACTGTTGACAGTTACTTTAGAGCTAGTGAAAAAATATTCTTTTTAAAAGACGAATATATTGCTTTTCATTTGCTCAAGAAATGAACAAAAGACTGGAGCTGAAGACCATAAGTGCTTGCTTTTTGCCCATTGACCAGATAATTAGAACTATCAGCATTATTTATTGTAGCATGAGGTTTTTATTTTTACTTAAAGCTGTCTTTTTTTGGTAATGACAAACGTGTGTTTTTTAAAGCCTGCTTTTTCTCAATACACCTTTAAAGGTTTTAAAATTGTTTCTTGTCTAATCAAGTTGAAAATTTTAAGGACCCCATTTTTAATTTGCAATAAAAGTTTATAACTTGATTTTTTCAAAAACGTCAACAAACTGCAAGCACCTGTTAATAAAGTCTTTAATAATTATCAAGAAATGAATATAAAAAGGAAAGTTATATTTTAAAAAATCATAAAGAAAATTCATGAATACAAATAGTTACATAATATATAGTCAAAGGAATCTTGTGAATTTCTTGTAAAGTAGAAACATCTAGGTAAGAATAAACCATTTAAAAAATAGAGGACTTAATAAAGTCAATTAATAACGTAACTGATGGTTCTTACGTACATTTGGTAGATGCACTGCCTTGAATAGGAACAATGCACTAAATTCAGAACTCTTGGTATTAGAGGAAAAAATACCCTGTCAGAAAAATATGTGGTTACTAAATTGGGTGTTATTTTTACTTAAAAGCCACATATATAAGTGTGTTAACAAGAGGAAAGATAGTTATAATTGGTGGTTGAAGGAAAAAATTCAAGGAAAGAACAACTAAGCTAAATATCATAGCAATTCTCCTGAGAGTATGAATTTTGGATTACTCAGTAGATTTAAAGGAAATTAGTCAAAATCATGCGACTAATCTGTTAATACTGCATGGACACAAAATGTTACATAAATTTCAGAATTAAAAGTTAAATAAAGAAAATGATAATTTGAGTCATTTTCATTTCTAGTTTCCTTGATCATATGATTCACAGAAAATAACAGATCCCAAATATACGTGGTAAGAATAAGACTAATATAATTTATAGATCTTATTATTTTTAGCACTTTACTTGACCTCATATCCTAGAAAATTGATCCTCTAGGGATGTGTTCTTTCAGATAAACAAATATACCTTTGCTTGATTCTTTCCTTTTTGTTTCTTTTGGAATATAGTTCCATTCTCTTGGAATACTCTCACGCAGACGTTCAGGAACGCCATGCTTGCTTAAGTTTGTCTTGCAGTTTCTCCCAGAGCTCATCACAGATACGATCTGCTGTACAATGTCCTTGACAGCGTCAGTCAGTGCCAATCTCAAGCATCGAATGACCTCTTGCTCAGACTCCATGCTCCTTGAGACTTTAAAACCAGATAGCATATTATAGTTAGCAGAATATGCAATATTTTGTGCCTTATTCAATTGAGAATTCAGTTTCTCAATGATCTAATATAAATATAGGAAAGGAGAGCATCTTTTAATCTAGAAATCATAAAAAAAAATTCTGACAATAAAGTGAATAAAAATTAAAATAACACTGAATAACTATATTTCCTGATAGTTTGGACTCAACTGCTACAAATATAAATGACCTTCTTAGATGACAATTTGGCAATAATATCAAAAACTCTAACCTTCATTATCTGTTAATTCACTTACTCCTTCTCTATAACTTTATTCTCATAAATTAAGTATGGTTATAGAAAGGATATAAAAATTGGAAAAAACTTAAATGTCCAATAATTGGTAATTTATTTAATTAGCCAAGGTAAATCTACTACACAATAAAGCCATGTATTGTTTAGTATAAAAATAAAACCAGATTAGAATATGACGTAATTTTATTAAAAATACATATCTACATAAACACATAAAAATTAAAATATATACTTTGCAATGTTAATGATGATTTTCCTCTTTCATTACTTCTTCTTTTAAATTTTTGGCCTTACTTCCCTCTCTTTTTCCCTCTACCTCTGCCTTTCTTTCTTCCTTCTTTCCGCTACCCTGACTTATCTCTTACTAGAGGCCTGGTGCACAAAATTCATGCACAGGTAAGGTCCCTAGGCCTGGCCGGTGATCAGGGCTTTTTGGGGCCGTCTAGCTGCTGGCCAGCACCTTCCTTCATTCCATGCTGTCCCCTGGTGGTCAGCACATGTCATAGTGAGAGATCAAACTCCTGGCCTCCTGGTCGAAGTCCTGAGGGGACACTTTGCATATTAGCCTTTTATATATATAGATTACCATTGTCATCATAATATGTACCTTTTACATTTGAAGAAAATTGACCATTAGTTTTACCCATCAGTTCATTGAACCAAAGCACCCTAAAGCCACAAGATATTTTTTCACATCTTACTAGGGTCTTATATCTTAAATAGCAAAACATAATCTCTGGCAGATATTAAATTAAATTTTTATGAGAGAACACTTTCTAATAATCTGCATCACATAATTTTTCCTTTCCCCTCCCCTCACCTTGTCTCAAGTATACTTAATTTTGATAGGAACTAATGGCTAATGACTTGCAAAAAATGCCTTTATACTGAAAACAAACCAAAAATAATAATAACATTTTACAAATAACAGATCCAGAAAAACTGATATCATTACAACTTTTAAAACACCTTTAAATATACATTTAGGTATCATTAGAGTGCTTCTTTTAAAATTATAGATTTCTCATACCTGGAATGTTATATAAAAAGTCCCATAATTGTTCTTCTTCCATGTAGCTCACAAAAACATTCCCAAATGTTTGTGGAGAAAAACTGCAATAGTATAGTATTTTAAAGATGGCTTCCACCAAGCTGGATACTTGGTTCATAGTATTTTCTGTATCAGGACCTTGTTCTTGAAAGGTGTGTTCTTGGAAAGAATAAAAATGACTTAGTAAGATAGGTATCTGCAAATGTGATTAACTTTTTATAACTTACCCTGAAATAATGCTGTAAAAATGCATTTGATTAATAGTAAGAGAAATGCCACTTTCTTTGAGAGCAATGGCTCATCTACCTCAGCATTGTTTCTGAAATACTCATGGCTATATGTGGAAGAAAAATTGTGAGAAGGACCACAATGACATCACTAATCCTTTGATAAGCATCCCTAGTTTGCTTTTATGTCAAAAATGCTTTTCTCTCTTTAAGAAAACATTTCAATTCCTTTATTTCATTTAAAAGTAATTCACATTCATTCTAGAAATCATAAAAAACCTATTAAGGAAACTAAAATTCTACGCATAAGTGATATTCATTATATTTGGTATAGTATTTATTAATATTACATACAAATATAAATAAATGAATATAGGTATGTATAACTTAAATGACAAATATAATTATTCCATATATATAATTTGTTATTAAAATCTATTTAAAACTAGTTAAATCTTTGTATCTCTTTTTTGCAATTTGTGTTCTGAATAGTACTATATTCTTTAGTGAGAACATTAAATTCATGGAAAATTTACATTTATAGTGTTCTCAGAATTATGCTACCAATTATACAAGTAAATTTAAATGTTTTTCAAACCTGTAGGCCCTATCATTTCAGAATGATAGGGCCTACAGGTTCATCAACTGATTTCTCAATAAAACTATTTTAGGAATTCTCACAAAGTTACAGCTACCTTAATTCCCCTTTAAGGCCTTCCTCTGGTTTTATTATAACTTCCTCAAAAATCAGCAATCAAGAACTTATATGCACATATGTATAACCCATGGGCACAGACAATAATATGGGAAGGCCTGGGGGAAAATGGGGGTCAATGGGAGAGAAGAGGAGAACATATATAATACTTTCAGCAATACAACAACAACAACAAAAAGTGGTTCAGCCCAGCCAGTGTGACTCAGTGGTTGAGTGGCAACCTAAGAACCAGGTGATCATGGTTTGATTCCTGTCGGGACACATACCCAGGTGTGGGCCCTAACCCCAGCATGGGGTGCACAGGAGGCAACTGATCAATCATTCTCTCTCATCACTGATGTTTCTATCTCTTTCTTCCTCTCCCTTCCTCTCTAAAGTCAATAAAAATATATTAAAAGGAAATTCCTATACTTTTGTAGCTATAGGTTGGACTGGAAAAGTGAAATAATAATTTATAGTTTGCTTAGATAATTAGTATCATATACTCAGTATCATAATGTAAGCCATTTACTTAAAGATGACTCATATCTTATCTCTTATGCTTAAGTAACTTAAATAAATATAATCTAGATTATTTTGTAATGAGTACATTTCTTTTTCTTGTTCATTTAGAAGCTCATCACTTTGTTTCCTCCTCATCAGGATTGTATTTCTGTCATTTGATTTTCATGATCTAGAACTAAATGTTGTCTGCAAACTAAGAAATAGCACCATAGACTTTATGTAAAGGGAATTTCTTGTTCTTGCTTTCCTCATATCTATTTTGGCTCTGCTGGTGGTTTAGTGGGAGGAGAGGGGGAAGTTAGGGCAGCTGGAGGGGTGGAGGGATGAGCTTAGACTGGAGAGCGATGTTGACAAGCCACATATTTAAAGCCATATTCTCTGACCCAAGGTTAACCAATAATAATGCTACTATTTTGAATTCCTTCTGCCTTCTCCTGTATCTACCAAATGGTTTATACATTATATAAACAAACACAAGATTTAGAAACAGATTGTCTTTTCAATAACACACTGGAGGGCCCTTTCACTGCAGTCATTTTATTTTAAACTCCTTTTGAAAAATGAACTTGTTAGTGCTTCAAAGGAAGGGTGGTGTCGGGCAAGGAACTCCACCACAACCCACCAGGAGACTCTGTTTATTGCCACCAAAGATTTACCATACATGGTGCGCTAGCACTTTGCTTTCCAAGACTGCTTAATGTTTTCTTCCTAGAGAATGCTGTTAATGACAAGCTCCTGCTGAGTCACTGAAATGGATTTGGCAGCGATGCTGTGGAAGAGTGTGCCATGAGCTTAGGGATGCTAAGTTACGGTAACCAGGCCCTAATAGGCATCCCTAACCAAAGGGAGTCAGAGACTCATGTTAGCCAGGTATGAGAAAGAAAGTGCAAGAATAGTAAGTATAGCGTATAATAAAAGGACTCCAAACCTATAACACTAGACCAATAAATTAATACCTGAGGAAAAGGGGGTGGAGTGTCACATGAAAATCGCTTTAGGGAAACACTAGTACATTCAAAATATTAACAAAAATAAAATTGAAACCTGTCTTGAAAAATAGTTTTGAAAATCTTATAGTTTTTTTTTTATAAAAGCCTAACAATCGATATAAAGACCTACCATTTACTTGTTTTCAATTAGACAGTACTCCATTATTACGTTTTTCCCTAAACTATTCTTATTTTGGAAAATTTTGAAATTAAAAAAAAAAAAAATCACCCATGTAATGGGTCTTAAACATAAAGAAAAAAAAATCATCCTTTTAAGGGATCCTCTTTCTCAATTCCTAAAATGCTCATCTACAAATTGAAGTGCAGCACTAACAACTTATTCTATGCTGTTTTCTTCAGTACCCAAATAGACACTAAACATCAGATTTCTCTTGAATACCCACTGTCTTAATTCAGCGCTATGATTGTAGTGAGATGGGACACAGGTCTTTACTGAATGCCCACAATGGTACAAGCATTAAATAAAGTGTTTTACATACATTTTTCAATTTGTCTTGAACCTCACGAAAACTTGATGAGGCGAATGTCACCTCCATTTTTTATTTAACAGATGAAGAAACTGAGTCTTAAAGGGTCTGTCACAATAAAGTAGAAAAGCATTCTCAATCATCAAGAAAATAGCTATCTTCAGTAAAAGTTTATACTTGGGCAATTGATTCCAATTCCTTAAAAACTGATAAACTGATCTATATAGAATTCTATATGCTTAAAAATTATTTTGTATTATTTACATATTTATAAATGTACATAGGCAGACCTTTTTGAAACAGTTTTGGCTGTATCTGCTTATATCTACTAGAGTTTTCCCCAACAGTTTTTATAAGGTGAGATTTTCAAAGTGCATTTCATGGGATGTTAATGAGTAGTACTTATGTTTTGGATATGCTGGCTTCACCAATATTAAATGTGGTTGTGTTTTTTCTGCAGTATTTCTCAGAGCCTTTAGTTATTCGTGCCCTGTAAACCTCCAAGAAGAATTTTAACATATAGTAAGCAGTGTTTCTACAGTATTTTTTTTTTTTGGCCATGAAACCCTTTTCTAGTATTGCATCAAGCAGGACTACTATAAAATTGAACCTAGGAATTAAGGCTCTAATGTTTGCAAATGGACTCAAATTAACTGCAAGTCTTTTTGGTAAGCAGTTCTAATGGTAAAAAAGCAAGGTGGGAACACAAAGGGTATTCTACTTAAGAGAGTCATTGGAAAAGAAACGATTGCTAATCAGGTCACCAATGTTGGATTTTATTTTAATTCAACTGAATTATTTGTGGGGCACAGAGGGATTTTACTTTAGCAATATGCACTGGCAAGAATAACAAAGCACAGCCAAAGCAGGTGTTTAAAAACTCTGCCTCCTAAACCCGAAGATTTCTACTAAGTTCTATCTGGTTAAGAAACATAATGAGATTGCTGTATATGATGGGCAGAGATGCCTTACAGAGAGGTAAGTGTCTGGTCAATAAATGAATAAATGTTTGTTGAATGAGTAAATGAAATTCCTCTAGCACCTGTGAAATAGTGGCCTACCTTCTTTTTAAAATCTTTCAGTGTTGGGATAGCCACTGGCATTCAAGGTAGCCAGACCCACTGCTAGATAGCACAAGTTAGCAAACATCGTTCTTACCAGAAAGGACTACCAAAATATAGGCTAGACTCTTTAGTGGATAAAGAAAAGAAGCTCATTTTTTCATGTGCTTATTGGCTATCTACAATGAGATATCACCTCACACCTGCCAGAATGGCTACTGTCAATAAATTAACAAACAATGTTGACAATGATATACAGAAAAGGAAACCCTCATACATTGCTGGTGGGAATGCAGACTGGCACAGCCACTGTGAAAAACAGTATGGAGTTTCCTCTTAAAAATGGAACTGCCGTTTGACCCAGCAATCCCACTTCTGGGAATCCCATATAATCCTATATAATAAAAGCCTAATATGCTAAGTGTCTGGCTGTCCGGTCAGCCAATCAACCAATCAAAGTGTTATATGCTAAGGCCACTCAACCACTTGCTATGATGTGCACAGACAACCGGAGGGCAGACAGTTGACTGGTCGACCAGTCCCTTTGACGTGCACTGACCACCAGGGGGCAGATGCTCTGACCGGTAGATGAGCTTGCTGCTGGGGTCCAGCTGATCCAGACTGAGTGAGATGGGCTGGACACACCCTGGAGCCCTCCAACTGTCCCTCCACAACTGGCCAACCTCTCATGTCCCTCTCTGGCCCAGATCTTGCATCAGTGGGGTTCCTTACAATCGGGCTAAGGGGCATCCCCCTTGAGTGCATGAATTTTGTGCACTGGACCTCTAGTATATCATAAGAATCCTGACACTGATTAGAAAGAATAGGTATATGTACTTCTATGTTCATAGAAGCATTATTTATAGTAGCTAAGATCTGAAAACAGCCCAGGAGCCCAGTAGGAGATGAGTGAATTAAAAATCGATACAATTACATAATGGAAAACTATCTGACTATAAATGGAACACTATCTTACCCTTTAAAACACCATGGATGGGCCTGGAGATTATTATGCTAAGCAAAATAAGCCAGTCAGAGAAAGACAAATATCACATGATCTCACTCATAAGTGAATTCTAATGAACAAAATAAACTGATGAAAAAATAGGTCCAGAGGCATGGATACATGTTACAGACTAGTAGATGGTAGAGGGAGGGATGAGAAGAGATTAACC